TCATCATCATCATCATCATCATCATCATCATCATCATCATCATCATCATCATCATCATCATCATCATCATCATCATCATCATCATCATCATCATCATCATCATCATCATCATCATCATCATCATCATCATCATCATCATCATCATCATCATCATCATCATCATCATCATCATCATCATCATCATCATCATCATCATCATCATCATCATCATCATCATCATCATCATCATCATCATCATCATCATCATCATCATCATCATCATCATCATCATCATCATCATCATCATCATCATCATCATCATCATCATCATCATCATCATCATCATCATCATCATCATCATCATCATCATCATCATCATCATCATCATCATCATCATCATCATCATCATCATCATCATCATCATCATCATCATCATCATCATCATCATCATCATCATCATCATCATCATCATCATCATCATCATCATCATCATCATCATCATCATCATCATCATCATCATCATCATCATCATCATCATCATCATCATCATCATCATCATCATCATCATCATCATCATCATCATCATCATCATCATCATCATCATCATCATCATCATCATCATCATCATCATCATCATCATCATCATCATCATCATCATCATCATCATCATCATCATCATCATCATCATCATCATCATCATCATCATCATCATCATCATCATCATCATCATCATCATCATCATCATCATCATCATCATCATCATCATCATCATCATCATCATCATCATCATCATCATCATCATCATCATCATCATCATCATCATCATCATCATCATCATCATCATCATCATCATCATCATCATCATCATCATCATCATCATCATCATCATCATCATCATCATCATCATCATCATCATCATCATCATCATCATCATCATCATCATCATCATCATCATCATCATCATCATCATCATCATCATCATCATCATCATCATCATCATCATCATCATCATCATCATCATCATCATCATCATCATCATCATCATCATCATCATCATCATCATCATCATCATCATCATCATCATCATCATCATCATCATCATCATCATCATCATCATCATCATCATCATCATCATCATCATCATCATCATCATCATCATCATCATCATCATCATCATCATCATCATCATCATCATCATCATCATCATCATCATCATCATCATCATCATCATCATCATCATCATCATCATCATCATCATCATCATCATCATCATCATCATCATCATCATCATCATCATCATCATCATCATCATCATCATCATCATCATCATCATCATCATCATCATCATCATCATCATCATCATCATCATCATCATCATCATCATCATCATCATCATCATCATCATCATCATCATCATCATCATCATCATCATCATCATCATCATCATCATCATCATCATCATCATCATCATCATCATCATCATCATCATCATCATCATCATCATCATCATCATCATCATCATCATCATCATCATCATCATCATCATCATCATCATCATCATCATCAAACCTGCCGATCTGCCTGACGGCAGTTTTGGCAAAGACGCTCGAGAAGATCGTGAAGAAGAGCCTTCTGCAACTTCTCGAGTCGAAAAACCTGTTAACCTCCGCACAGCATGGTTTCCTGAAAGGTCGTTCGTGCATCACCAACCTACTGTTGACGAGGCACGAATGGTTACAAGCGCTGAACAAAGGCCAATCGGTTGACGTCATTTACATTGACTTCAGTAAGGCTTTTGACAAGGTTAACCATGCAGTGCTCCTTGACAGACTGAGGATGTGCGGTGTTGGTGGTTCGCTGCACAAATGGATCAGCAATTTCCTTATTGATCGGAAGTGGAGAGTCCAGGTGGACAACCATCTAACTGACTGGTATCCATCGAGCAGCGGCGTGCCCCAAGGCACTGTACTGGGCCCGATATTGTTTCTAATCCATATAAACGATGTGCCTCAGCTACTACAATCACATTGTGCTTTGTTCGCAGATGACTTGAAAGTGTGGAGAGTAATCCGCACACTCAATGATTGCGATTTACTTCAGCAGGATCTCGACCGCCTCTCAACATGGTCTGCAGAGGTTAACCTTCCGATCAACCCTGCCAAGTCGCAATTCATGAGGTTGGGTAAGTGTGATCACGGCCGAACGTACACAGTGGCTGGACAACCGTTGCATCCCGCTCCTTTCGTGCGCGACCTCGGTGTACTCTCACGCTGCGACCTAAAGTCCATTGACAACACGAATAGGCTGTACCAAAACAGCCTTCGTATGCTTTGGGCTCTCAGGCGCAGCTTTAGCACTTGGTCCGAAGAGATTGCCACTCGCCTCTTCGTCTCGATAATACGACCAATGCTGGAGTACGGCACTCCCGCATACTGTCCCATCACCCGGGGCGAAGTAGAAAAGCTTGAGCGGGTGCAGCATGTAGCCACTAGGCTGATTCCCAACTTACGAGGTATGTCATACGAAGACCGATGTAAGAAACTAGGGTTATACACCCTATCTTATCGTCGGCTGAGGGTTGACCTCATCATGACGCACCGGATATTACATCTGGGTGATTACCCCATGTTGAGACAACTACTTCATCTGCGCACACCAAGCTGCACGCGAGGACACCGGTATAAACTTATCGTCCCGGATTTGAAGCGGGTCGCCCATCAACTCTGTTTCGAACGCAGAGTGGTGAATGTCTGGAACGACCTGCCTCAGCATATAGTAGAAGCGAACACAGTGTCTAAATTCAAGATGCTACTAGACCAACAATTTGCAGAGGCAAAGTACAAAGAGCGAAACGATAAATAAAAGTTCATGTCCGAAAACGACGAATGATGCAGCTACACAGAGCAACCTCTACTCGCTGCTTCGCACCAGTTCTCAGTTCTCAGTTCTCATCATCATCATCATCATCATCATCATCATCATCATCATCATCATCATCATCATCATCATCATCATCATCATCATCATCATCATCATCATCATCATCATCATCATCATCATCATTATTAACATATAGTTCATTAGCATTCTCGTAATAATCATCAACATCATCAACATCCTCACCATCCCCATCATTATCATCATTATCCAACTCATTATTATCATCATCGTCATCCTTCTCATCATCATGATCAACAACATCACCATCATCTATATCCTCATTGTCATCATCAACGTCATCATCATCATCTTCATCATTATCATCATCAACAACAACATCGTCATCATCATCTTCTTCACCATTATCATAATAATCGAAATTATCTTATTTATCATCATCCTAATGAGCACCTTCATCCTCATCACAATTGTCATTCTAAACATCATTGTCATCATCATCGACTTCCTCTAAAACGTCTTCATCATCAGGATTATCATCAGCATATTCGTCATCATTATTAACATATGATTGATTATCATCTTTATAGTAATCATCAACGTCATCAGCGTCCTCATCATCCATAACATTATCATCATAATCGAACTCATCATTATCATCATCATCATCATCGTCATCAGCATGATCATCAACATCATCAACATCCTCGTCGTCTTCCTCTTCATCATTATCATGATCCCCTTCATCATCGTCAACATGCTCAACCTCATCATCGGCTGCCAAATTATCGAATGCTTTGGGCGGTGAGTCCTGGCTTCTGCACTTGTCTCGAAGAAATTTCTACTTGCCTCTTCTTCCCGATAATACGACCAATTTTAGAATACGCCTCTCCTGCGTTTTGTCCATCAGGCTGGGAGAGGTAAGAAAGCTTGTGTGTGTGCAGCAGGTAGTCATCAGGCTGACTCAAAAATAACGAGGTATGCCCTATGAAGTCCGATGTAAGAAACTAGGGCCGTTCACCCTAGCATATCGTCGGCTGAGGGTTGACCTAATCATGACGCACCGGATATTACATCTGAGTGATTACCCCATGTTAAGACCACTGTTTCATCTGCGCACACCAAACTGCACGCGAGGACACCGTTATAAACTTATCGTACGGAACTTGAAGCGGGTCGCTCACCAAATCTGTTTCGAACGTATAGTGGTGAATACCTGAAACAACCAGCCGCAGCCGGTAATAGAGGCGAATTCAGTGGCCGAATTTAAGAAGCTTCTAGACAAACACTTTGCAGAGTCAAAATATAGAGATCGGAACGAAAAATAAGGCGGATATGTCCAAGAGCGACGAATGATGCAGCAACAGAGAGAAAGCTGTACTCGCTGCTTCGAAACAATATTCAGTATTCAGTTTTCAACATCATCAACATCCTCATCATAATCTGCATAATCAAATTCATCATCAATATTATGATCATCACAATCATTATAATCATCATCCTCATGGTATCCATCATCATCATCATTATCAAAATCATCATGATCGTCAAGATCAGCATCGTCATCATAATCATCATCATCACCATCATCATCACCTTCATCTTCATCATCATCATCATCATCATCAACATCATCACCATCATCATCAACGTCATCATCATCATCATTATCATCATCATCAAAATCATCATAATCATCTTCATCTTCTCCAGCAAGTGTACGGTCAACATCATCCTCATCATCATCCTCAATGTTTTCATTGTGAATATCCTCATACGCATCCTCATCATCTTCGTCACCTTCATCATGTCATCGTCATCAACATCATCCTCATCATCACCATCATAATCATCGTCACCAACCTCACCTTTATCATTATTATCATACTCAACATCATTAATGTTGCCATCAGCTTCGCCAATATTATCCTCATCATCATCGTTTTTTATCATCATAATCATCATCGTCATCATCAACAACACCAACATCATCATCACGATCATCGTCAGCATCATCACAATCATCATTATCATCCTCATAATTAGCAGCGTCATTTTTAACATCATTATAATCATCATCATCTTCAACATCTTCATCATCATCAAAATCGTCATTATCATAATCCAACTCTTATTCATCATCTTCGGCATCGGAATCATAAGCATCACCACCATCATCATCAACGTCATCATCAGCATTATGATGCTTTTCATCATCGTCCTCATCAACAAACTTACATTATGATCGTCATCCTCATCGTTGTCTTATTCATCACCAACAGCATTTCCATCATCGCCGTCATAATCAGGCCATTGTGATCATTAACATCATACTCATCATCATCTTCATCTTCATCATAACCATAATAAGCATCATCATTTTCCTCAACGTCAAAATTATCATCATTAACTTTATCTTCGTCAACATGAGCAACCTGATCTTCATCATCGACAGCAGCATCACTATCATCATCATAACCAAAAGAAGCAACCTCATCTTCATTATCATCATCATAATGATCGTTATAACCATCACCATCATCATCATTATCATCATCACCAAAAACCTCATCACCAACATCATCCTCATCATCAACCTCATCACGATCATCATCAGCCTCATCAAGATCATCATCAGCCTCGTGATCATGTTCATCATCATCGTCATCTTCATCCTCCTCTTCATCATCAACGTTCACAGCATCATCACCAAAAATATCATCATCTACACCATCGGCATAATCATCATCAACATCGGCAGCAACATCATCCTCGTCATCATGATCATATTATTCTTCATCATCAACATTAACTCTAACGTTAAAATGGTCAAGATCACCATCATCAACATCATTATCGTTATCATCATAGCCATAAACGTCATCATCTTTATCATCATGAATATCCACATCCTCATCCTTATCACCATCACAATCCTTATCACCATTATCGACATCATCAGCATAACGACCAATATTTTCATCGCCATCTTAATTATCATAAACATAATCCAAAGCGTGAAAGCCATCACCTTTAGCTTCCTCATTATCATCATCATCATCGTCCTCATCAACATCGTCTTCATAATTATCATCATCATCGTCAACATCCATGTCATAATAAACCATTAATAATCATAGTCATCTACTTCCTTATCTTCATTATCTTCATCGTACTCATCGTCATCATCATAAACGTTTCCTTCATCATCATCATCATCATCATCATCATATCCATCAACATAAATAACATGATCCCATTCATCATCATGATCGTTATATCATACTCATCAACATCTGCATTATCATCATCAGCAGCATCACCATACTCAACACAAACATCATCAGCATGATTTTTAACTTCATCTTCATCATTATCATCATAACCGTCGTCATCGTCATCATCCTTATGAACATCATCATCATCAACATCATCATGATCATCATAATCTACATCGTCATGCTCATCATCATCATCATTAAACTCAGCAACACCATCATCGGAATGAACGGCATTATCGTCAACGTTATATATATAATCATCATCAACTTCATCTTCATCATCATTACCAGCATCATCAACCTCATTCTCGTCGTCATCATAATCGACTGCTTCATCATCGGCGTCATTATCATCGCCAGCAAAATCTTCCTTATCATCCTTATTATCTCTATCCTCATCCACATCGTCATCATCATGATCACCATCATCATCATCAAAGTCTTCATCATCCTCATCATAATCATTATCATCAACATCATCGTCATCATCTTCAGCTTCAGCACCAGCGTAATTGCATTTACCCTCATTATCACCAATATCATCCTCATTGTCATCATCATTACCTTGATGATCAACGACATCATCATCAGCTTTATCATCATTATCAACATCATCATCATCATCGTCATGATAATGATAATCATCATCGTCATATCCTTCATCAACATATTCATCATCATTATTAGCATAAAATCCGTGATCATCGTCATAATAATGATCAACATCATTAGCATCAACATCATCCTCATCAATATTATCATCTTCCAACTCATCAGCATCATTAACATCATCATCCTTAACCTTAACTTTTTCGTCATTATCATCATATTCCTTAACATCGACATCATCCTTGTCATCGTCATCATCGTAATCATCATTCTCATCACCATCATCATCTTGTTCATTAACATCATCATTATAATCATCATCAACATTTCAAAATAATCATCTTCTTCATCATTGTCATCCTCGTCATCATCCTCAACATCGTCGATTCATCATCATATTCATCATCAATGTCATCATCTTTAACATCATCAGCCTTTTCATCCTCATCAACAAGGTCAGGGCCACAGCCTTGGTGTTTGAAAAAACGTTCGCTCCGCTCTCAGGCCAGTTTTTTCATTATTATTGTGTCATATATTGTTATATCTTGTCGTGAGATATATAATTCGATATACTATTTGATTCTGCGTTTTTCGGTGATATATTTAGATACATATTAGCCGTAAGTTTCTCTTTTTTTGTCCTCCTAGAGATTTTTCGATCTTAGTGTTAGCGTGCCCTTATCCTGTTGGACCATATTTATCTCGTTGATTTTATTGTTATAACAGTGTCGTC